CTTGGTCGGCTAGTCTCCCGCCCGCCCCTCTGGCTATCGTTGTCCATATATTCCTAGGTCCATGATACAAACTCTTTCATGAATCAAGGACTCTTACCTAGATCTCGAGCGACTTTTAATAATCTTGGCGACGGCAGCCGCAGCCATGGCGGTCTTCTGTTCCCTGGCTTTGTCGTGATGACGCTGAGACGGGCTCGGCGCAGGTGGGTTCAGTCCGGCTCGTCGGTGCAGCGTGCCCGTAGGAGAGATGGAGCCTTTTGGCGGACGAGGAGACGGAGCGGGAGGATTCATTAACATAGCGCCGCGTTGAGGCGCGGTCGCCGCAACGGTCGGGGGATTCGCGGGTGGTGAACTAATAACTGCGGTCTTGCTTTTGCCAGCGGAACGGGTTCTAGAGGGAGGAGAAGGCGAACGGGACCTGGATAGGGAGTCGTAAGAACTGTAGCTAGAACGACTGGAGCTACGGCTAGAACTAAAAAGATAACGTATGCTCCTAAATGCTTTCACATGCATCAAAAGTGGATGTGTAAACTCTCTTCTCTAAAGAACTGAACGAGAAATATATACGGCCTAATATTATAATCCAATACACGCGCACGGTTGCAGCAGGAAAATCAAAGCCTTAACGCGCTATTACAACCTTTCCGTTGTCTCTTTGCGAGAAAAATAATGCTCAATAAGCCAATTTTCCGTTTGACAAACTTTTTCAAGTTTCCAAGATGCTTTTCTGCAACGTTCGGCATCCGAATGTAAATAGTCGATAGCGTAAAAATTAAAGTACCTCGTTGAAGAGTAAGAAGAACCCGAAGAATAGGACTGCCGGCGTGATCGGCGAGACGATGTTTTGCGACGTACAGCGCTCGGGGATTTGCGTCGCATCCACGGATCCGCCCATTCGTCGCCCCTGCCTCTTTCGGCAGGAGGTGGTTCCTCCTCCCGCCAAGGCTTCGTCGGTGGAATGCGTTCGACAATAACCTCCCGTGACGGCCGTTTGTGCTTCTTCTCATATTTTTCGTAGTAATCCCGCTCCCTCTCGCGTTCACGGTCGCGTTCCCTCTCTCGGTCACGATTGTGCGGCGGCGGCGGCGGTGGCGGTGGCGGCGGAGAAACTGAATGCGTGCCACGCGGGATCGCATGATAATCGATACGTTCTCGATACTCACGAGACTCTTTATAGTGCACCCTCCTGCTGAATAAAAAAAACAAAGATTAAAATAAACAGTGGAACTCCAGCACTTTGAGTAATAATTGAAAGATAATTTCTCGTTTTTTTTTGTTTTTTTTTGTTCTAAAACTTGATCGAGTACAAGTGTCGCCTCACCTGTAATAGTCGGATGACGCGGGAGGCGGATAATATCCTTCCGGCTCCTCGATATATCTCTCGGGCGTGATTCTCGAGGACGGTACTCTGCGTGGTGCTTCACGCTGCGGCCATCTTTCAACCGGTGGTTCGGGACTAGCCGCTCTGACGTAGTATCCCGCTTCTCTGTCCAATTCGTCCTGTCCCAGGCTCAGATTCATCTTCTTTTCCTCGAAATCCATATCCGATTCTTTGCGCTTATTAGCTTTACGCATCATCTAGATAAGTGAAAAGAAAATTTCTTCTTTAAAACTCGATTACGCTCTTGGGATTATTTTTATTAATTCACAAGCTTCATACAGCGCGGCCGAAAAATTGCAAAATCAAACATTTGATTGCTCTTAAATTTTATTCTATACACTTTTAGTATTTTTTTTTTGTTTTATCCCGAAACTTTTTTATCACCACGAATACGCAGGAATGTTTTACGTGCAAATGCAACTTACTTCTTTAGCGTGTCGCAGTCCGCGCTCCCAGGCAGATTCGGTCGGCGCTTCTTCCACCTTCGGTGCGTGCGTCGGTGCGGCATAACCGGACAACGATCGAACCATGTTCGGTCTTTCGATGTGAGATCTATATTCGTGTGGCGCGGCGGCGTGCGGCGGGTACGCCATGGGCCTCACCATATCAAACATAGTGTAATTACCTTTGTCCGTCACTCCCGGATGCAGAAATCTACAGCTAACACCCCACGTGCACTGTCCGCGATTATAAAAGCGACACACAGGTCTCGGCTCAGTTTCTTCCGGCCGCGCGTCGTCGCCGTCACTAAGTTCTCCTTCTTCCAATTCTGATTCCTCTTTCTCCCCCTCTTCCCCTTCTTCCTTGTCATTCATCTCTCCGGAATCTTTTGATTTTGCTTTGTCCTTGTCTTTATCCTTACTATCTTTCTCCGCATTCTCCTTACTTTCTTTCGCGAGTGACGTTTCAGTTTCACCTATAATTTTATCAATTATAACTTGCGATCGTGATACATAAAATATATAATTATTCTTTAATGTAATAAGAATGTCCCAAAATTTATAAAATTATTACATTGCAATGTTTCAAAAATCAAACGAGAAAATCATAGGCTGCTATGTTGAAGCTGCTGCGTGTTTTATTTTCTTTTAACGTAAACGTTTCAGCAACACGTGAATTCCTTCAGCACATAGTTTGAAATTATTTCTTTCTCTAAATTATCCCATTATATTATTATTATAAAACGTGCATTCTAATAAATCACTTGGTTTCAATCATTGCTTTGTTCTAAATGCTGTGTTCATTTGTATTGTCCATTTTCGAGTCAGTAGATAGTTGAGTAGTTGCTACTGTTTTTATGTATTAAAAATTGCTGCAAAATTATGTCCTTTTTGTAATTTTACGTAAATTGTGTTTTTTAATTAAATTCTACTTACTCGAAAATGGATTCACATTAATTTATCATACTTGTGTGTGTATATTTCCTGCGCCTTGCTTATCCAGCATGTGATTGTTGTGATGTGCTCGTTATTCATCAATAAGTTAGATTCTCATTAAACGGATGAAAGGAGGAAAGTTTGTTAGATATGTTTGAAATCACTCACATGTTAAGAAAAAGAATGTCTCACTATCGACGATTTCAATTATCGCTTGAATAAAAATCATGAATTTGAAAAAACAGAAATAATCCATATATAAAGACAAGAGAGAGAAAGAAACAAGCAAAATATCACGGAGCTACTTTCCCAGAATCTTCTAGTGTTAAGCTTATTATCTCATTTTTAAATAAATAAAAAAACCTTTTACACAAGATACATTTACGTTAAAAAAACAATATATAAGCATGCACGACAACTTCAGCCTGCTATTTTCTTGTTTGATCTTCAAAAATACCTAGATTGTATTCCTAGCAATTTTTAAAATACTTATTCAATTTTGATATATAAATTTGGCTTAAAGCTTCAAATTTATAGCGTTCTTACCTTCATCGCGTTCATCCTTCCATTGACCATCCGCTTCAAAGTCCAATTGTTCACTTTCCTCCGTCAAGCCGACTGGCGCAATTTTGCCTTCCTTCTCCGTATTTTCACCGTCGTTCGTGATTTCTTGCTTGTCGCCCTGCTCCTTTTCCATCTCCGCATTTCGTTCGGTGGAGCCCTCGGGACCGTCGATGCTTTCGAGATCCGAAACATCTGACAGATCCTCGCTGTGGGTGACAGGAGTGGGTTTCGATTTGCACACCGGCTCAGCATCATCCTCGATATCGCCGTCTGAAATTTGCTCGCTGTCCAATTCGTGAAAGGAACCGTTCTTCTCTTCCTCGGGAGAGCGCGGGCCTGAATGCACCGGCGAGTGCGCCGCCGATTCTTGATCGTCCATGGGAGACGCCGGACCGGATTTGAACGACTTCGGCGAACTCCTCGCCGATATGAGAGACTTGACGGAACTCGGGCCCGATCTGGGCGACTTGGGCGAACTTTGTCTGGATCCGCTGTTTTTGTACGAGTACGATTTTAACGAATTATCGGCAGATCTCTGCGCGTCCGCTTCCAAATCGGACGCTTTCGACTCGGCGTCGGCGAAGTGCATCGATTTCGAGTCGTTCGCGGGCGAGAGGCACGATCCGTTGTCCTGTACAGGCGATCGTGACATGCTGCGATCCGATCGCGGCGAATCGAGAGAATTGTTCCCCGAATGACTCGGCGGCGTGGCTGGAGACGTCGGCGAGAGAGGGGACGACAACGACGGGGATTTCGATAAACTACGGATCGACCTCGGCGAGCCCTCTTCACTGGGAGACATTATTCCGGATCGTTGCGACTTGGGCGACATCGGAGTCGATCTCGGCGAGTCCCCGCCCGACAGCGGTGATCTGGGAAATTTTCCGGCGGAGGACAAGGAACTCGCCGCGGACTTCCGTCGCTCGGAACCCGAGGAGTGATGGGAGTAACGCGACGATACCTCGACCGTGATAGCAAGTCGATTCCTATCCCCGTCAAAACCCTCCGAGGATGTACTTTCTGAACCAGAGTCCGACATGTTGAAACTATCTCAGCCTGTAAAACAATAACGACTGTTAGAAAGCGGCGGGCGACTCTAAGACAAACGGGAGCGGGAAACATCTCGATCAAATCTTTAAATGTAACTTCGTTCAAATTCCTCTCTTACTTGATAAGTTAAGTTTTTCTTTCTAGGCGTAGCCGACCGAATGTAGCACTGAAAAAGTCAGTCATCAATAGCATCGCAGGGCTTACCTGTGTCAATCAGAGCCTGTGAAGTATTCGGTCTTGATGGCACAACGCGCGCGATCCATACCGTGTCGAACATACTTTTTATGTCACAACTTTCGACAACTATTACTTTCTTTTCTTTTCTTTTATCGAAAACTTTTTTATACTTTATTACTTAAACTGAACTTTGCTTGTCACATGTACGGAACATACTGTTTCTTTTTTTTTTTGTCGGGTTCTCTTGCGCGGAACTTTTTCGGTTGTCGGTTTAAACTTTCAACTTGAACACAACACAAACTAAGAAAGTACCGATAAACCACGAACCGTTTTTGTACTGCACTAGAAACTATAGCGAACGAACTTTCAACCTGAAAGAATATTTTTTGGGTCTAGTGAAAAAGAAAGAAAATGGGGAAGGAGCCAGGAGCAAGTTGCTGAACGATAAGACATGAAAAAAAGCTTTAGTTTAATAATGACGTATTGCAATGTCACAGATTTTTGGCAAAATGTAATTCATTTTCTACAACTGTAAGACATTCTTATTCTTCTTTAAAGGAGATAAAAATTCTTCATATAACAATATATCAATATTCCGTTTTCACGTTGCATCAGAATTAAACTTTGCCACAATTATGATAATATTTGGAGAACATTAAGGTTCCCAATTCCACGCTGCAGTCATATTGAGTTATGACTTCAGAAACGAGAAATCCTGTCAAGTTTCTTCTTGCATGATAGATTAACAAAATACGGATCATCTTTGTGACTCTTACATTAGAAAATAGTTGTAAATCTTGACTAATTGTCACAAAGGTCCTTTTTCTCTGAAAATGCAATCTTACATATATATTAAATTATTTGTCCGCTAATACAAAATAATAATAGAGAACATTTTTCAGCATATTTTATCAATGTATATCTCTATTGGTATACAAAAAAAATAATTCGTTTCAACTACAAAACAAATATTGATCTGATTTCTTCCTTCTGGCATCATAGTTTCATGACTATGGTGAGGAAATAAGAAACTTAATTCTGGATAAAGTATAACGACAAATCATATATATGTATATAGTTATTATAACAGATCTACAGTATCGATTGCAATATGTAAATAATAAACAAATAAATAAATTATTACATCAAATGGCATATTTAAATCTCGTATAATAACTGGTCAATTCTTATTATTTCCAGCTGTGATATTTTTATTTGTAAAAGAATAAGATGAAAAACATGACTAGCGTATTTCTATGTTTAAAATTTCTTTCCTCGTTATTCATATGCTAAATGATGTATCTTATCACGAGTATCAAACCTCTCTAATTTTTAATTCTGAACTAATGCCTTAAGCTTTTCAGCTCAGGCCCTTATATTTTAATATGAAAATGTTGAATCACACACATATTTTCATTCTAAACATGCCCAATTAAACAACCATGAAGTAATGAGAGAACAGCACAAGAAAAATTAATATTGCAGAAATTTTCCCTGCAAAAAACACACAAGTTGATTTCTGATTTGTGTACAATTTTTATAATTATATTCAAATTTTATCTTACAATTTTGAAATACGTTTAGGGATTCTTGAATACAAGATTGTACGATGAAAACATCCCAAGAAATCGACTTGCATCATTTGCATTCCTTGTTTTGAAAAGTAACCAAAGTATAGAAAATTATGACCAAAAGAAATATCACGATTATGACATCACGAATTATGTAGATTGCATCGTAAGCATTTACGAGATCCGCACCATTTTAACTTTATGACGTTGCAGTCTTTTTAATTACAATGATCAGCTAATTAAGACTAGAGAGGTTAGGGAGACTCGATCGTATCTGGGAGCAAAGTGAGAGGTTAAACTGGCGACGACGATAACGACGACGACGATAGCGACGTCGACATTGTTGCAATCGAGACTGCAGTTGCAAAACCGGGCAAAACAGGGATGATGGATCGTGGCGTTTCGTTTCGCGGGGTATACAAATTACGGCACTTTCATCCGAGCTGTCCGTGCTGAGAATGGCATCGTGGGGCTTCTTACCTTGGTCACGCGTATTATGCCTGTGGGGCCTTAGGAGATCTCGAGAGCTCCGAGACTCCAAGGCGGCCGGCGTCACCCGTAGTACTAACGTTCACGTTAGCACGAAACCCGTATCCGCCTTTATTGTCGTTTCTCACGACGCCCACACCCCGGTTGCGGCTAAACCAACGTCCACGAGGGATCTCTCGTCGTGCGATCCCTCACTACTCCTATCGATAAGGACCTATCGAAAAGAACAAAGCACAAGCAGCAAAAAAGCCGACGGAATCACAGAAATTGCATCTCGGAATTTTTCGCCGTGAAAGTTAGCGATACTAGATGCGACTCCCACTATCCGCCGTTACTACTATGCGCGCGCATTACATAGAGTATATATGGTGAATGAACCAATCAACTGCCGAGTAGTTGAATTTCTATTGGTATATCGCTGCGACTCGGACAAATATAAATCTATCTATCGCATTCATGCGTTTATGGTGCACATTTGCTAAATATGGCGGTTAATTATAATCACTTTATCAACGAGACTTTTTTTATGAGAAAAAAACTGGAGGTTAAATACCTTATACATTTATGATATATAAAAACTCATTTAAAAAATATTCAACGACAAAAATTCAAAACATATAAAGCCATATATAAAATTACATATTGTTTATTAAACATTGTTTATGTATTGAAATATAAATTATTATAGTTTATACATAAACTGAAATGTTTTTTGCTATGTGCAACAAAGAATACTGGATTACCTCTTTAATTACCATCAAGTTGACGAATATTTAACATGAAACAATTAAGATGATTGATCAACTGGCTAAAGAAATTTCACAAATTTCAATTAATAAAATAAAAAAAATTGAAGTTATTTTCTTCTTTATATTTATAGCACATTTATATTATAGAAGTGCACCTGATTACAGTTTATAGATGATATTATATTAATTAATTATTTATAAGTTCATTATTAATTATAATATAACAAAATAATAATATAATCCAATATTACTAATTACATAAATTAATTGAAACAGATTAATAGTGTCTTTCTAATAATACTTCTGCTGCTTTATCAATAACTTCTGGATGACACAAAGCATTGATAATAGATTCTACAAATGAATCGTATTGAGGATTGGGTATACAATCTGCGGATGCAGTTTCTCTGTCCGGCGGATATTTATCTTTGTCTCTGTTTCGTCTTTCTCGAAGGAATTCCTCAAATTTGCGGGCTTCTGCGTCAGGTACAAGTTCGACATAAGTAGGGTATTGTTCTGCTAAACTTTTTGCACTCCACATGTCAGGCTTAAATTTTTTTATACAGCTTTCTGAAGGCGAATCTTCGCTTTCATTTGTGGGTTCATTACTCACGCACCTATTGATAGCATGTTCAACCTGTTAAAATAACGCACCATGAATTAATTAAATTGGATTTCCATTTAATCAATAATCTGCATTTCTTAAAATTACCTGCGTTGTATAAAATGTAGTTTTTTTAACTGTAAATTGTTTATAGTCTCCTATTTTAGCTATTAACAATTTAACAAGAGCTTCTTTGACTCTCGCTTTATTATCTTGTTCCAATTTTCCCCATATATTAACACTTATACTAACAGAATCTAAAGATTCCACATAATGCCACCAGCCATTAGGTATAAATAAAACATCTCCAGGCTCAAGAATTATTAATTTTGGTTTATCTGTTAGCGTTAATAAACACTCTTCTTCCTCTTCATTGAGGCAATATATATTAAATCTGCTATATATAGTTGATTCTTCATAAGGAAGTCTAACTGGTATCAGATCATTATTTGGTGGATAAAGCAACCACAGTTTCCTACAAATATAACAAATTCAATAAAAAGATGCAAAAACAAATAACTAAAAAAAGATAACAAACCTGCCATGTATTTGCGCTACCAAATTGTAACCATAAGTGTCCTGGTGACAATCAGTATGAGCACCTTTGCTTCCAATCCACATCGTAGAATTTGATCCATTTCGTCCTAATTCCTCATCAATTCCAAACTTGAGCCAATTAAAGGAGTTTATAATTTCTGGTTTATCCAGAAAGCATTGACGCAAATGCTTGTAATCGTAGTATAACCATTTATTGTATTTCAATCTTTCTGAATTCTTAACAAACTGTTCTAATGTTAAATCAACAGGTTTCACAGGAGGGCTTACATTCCAATTACGATGTTGAAGGGAACACTGATAAAAAAAAAGATACAAATTAAAATCGTCAAATAAATTTTCAATTAAATCATCAATAAAATGATCAAAAAACGTGTATAATTGCTGCAGCTCACCGTACGCTTATTATGATCCCCAATTCTGAATGGCAATGCCTTATCTCCAAATACCTCAACGAGTTCCGAAAGGCTCCATCGGAGTAATTGCCACTCGTATGAACCGTCAGATTGTCGCAACATATTTCGAAATATTATAGGTTCTTGAAGCGTTGCCAAGCAATTCTTCAGAATTGCCTGCAACTCTGATAATTGATCGCTCATAATTTCGCTAATCCAACAGATATCAGAATTAAAAACTCTACCGTCTTCCAAATTTTCCCAATTGATTTAAATCAAATTTACACCGAGTCTTTCACTTTATAACCTAATTTATATTGAATGTGATCCTGATCAGTCCTTGATACTCTCGTTTGATTTCGCCATGGTACGTTTGTTTATTTCAACAAATGATTTTTTCATCGTTCAATAGTAAACACAAACCTACTACAATAAGCAGTTACCAAAATCCATGTATACATACTAAAATTAAATAAGTTAAGTTGTCACACAACTTGTCAGTCTTCTACCGTGAAATTACAGATCTGCTATAATCTTTTTTTTCTCTTTCTAATGCACAGCACTTTTCTCATTTTGACTGTAGAGAACTGTAGAGAACTGTAGAGTAGCAAGATCTATAGAGAGAAGGTTACCTCATGCGCAAAGAGGGACGAGGGGCAAGAGCAAGATCTATAGAGAGAAGGTTACCTCAGGCAAACCGATTGTGGGCGAGGGACGATGAAGTAAGGGGGGAGCTAGAACAGCTTGTTGGCGAAGGGCGACGAAGTAAGGGGGGAGCTAGAACAGCTTGTTGGCGAGGGGCGACGAAGTAAGGGGGGAGTTAGAAACAGCTTGTTGGCGAGGGGCGACGAAGTAAGGGGGGAGCTAGAAACAGCTTGTTGGCGAGGGGCGACGAAGTAAGGGGAGAGCATGATGATCTCATCGTCAAACAGTAGCTGTCTCTCTCGCACGCTTTAGTGTTTTCTCTCTCGCTCCTTTAATATAGAAATGCTTTGAGTTTTTATCGAAAAAATACTTTTATTTTGTAAAATATTGATAGCACTGGAAATTGTGTAATAAAAATTAGAAAAATTATAATTAAAAATTAGAAAATAATATATTATTTAAAATAATTTTTAAATATGTACTATTTTTTCTTTTATTTTACTACTTTACAAATGATGTTTTTTGTGTGTATATCCCCAAATTATATTTTATTTTCATTGATATTACAGTCTAAATACGAGTACAAAGCAATTTGTATTACAAATGCATCTGTTGCAGCGATATTTAACATTATAAACGTTAAATATCTAGCGCTATAATTTGCAATATATGTAATTTATAGCGCCTTTCTAATTTACTTTTCAATTTTTATTACACAATTTCCAGTGCTATCAATATTTTACAAAATAAAAGTATTTTTTCGATAAAAACTCAAAGCATTTCTATATTAAAGAAGCGAGAGAAAAAACACTAAAGCGTGCGAGAGAGACAGCTACTGTTTGACGATGAGATCATCATGCTCTCCCCTTCCTTCGTCGCCCCTCGCCTACAAGCTGTTCTAGCTCCCCCCTTACTTCATCGTCCCTCGCCAACAACCGGTTTGCCTGAGGTAACCTTCTCTCTATAGATCTTGGTCTGAGATAGCTTCTGCTCACAGATGACATCATCATTGCCCCTCTTGCCGCTCGCCCCTCTCTGCATTTGCCCCTTTTGCCGCTCGTCCCTCTTTGCGCATGAGGTAACCTTCTCTCTATAGATCTTGACCAGCACTAACCTGCGCTATTTACATATGTAATTCTTATTTCCGGTCTCTTCCCGCTTGCCCAGCATCAAGTGACGTCACGCAAAACCACGTATCCGAGGTTTTACTAATATCGAAGGTAATCCTTTTTCCTTTAAGTATTATTTCACAAAATAGTGAATAAAGTGTAAGAGCTAGATAGTGTTTGTATATGATTTTGTAATATTTTATAATTTTTATGTACTTGTTAAAATTATTTTGCTTAAAATATTTTAAGG